TTTTAATTAACACTAATAATTAACGGCGAACCAATTAAAACAAAAAACACACTTGGTTCGAACGAAAGCGAGAACAAAAGCGAAAAAAAAAAAAACAAGAAAAAAAAGGCAAATTCTTTTTTTTTTTCGTCCCATCGTTTTATAAACGCCGAAAGGACATATTTAATTATGCGAAAAAATAAATGAAAGAAATAAGGGATCGGGAGGGGAAAAAATAATTGAAAAGAAAAGAAAAGAAAAGACATGAAATGAAAAGAAAAGAATAGAAAGAAAATAAAAAAAAAAAAGAAAAAGGGAAGAAAGAATCAAACTGGAACTTTACTCTTTTTTTTTTTCTCTATATTTTCTAACCCACCTTTAACACCGGCCCTTTTTTTTTTCCCTTCTACCTTTAACGTTAGTTCATCTTGAAAGGAAGGAAATTGACGAGTTCTCCCTAAGGTATTTTTCTTCGTGATAAACTCATAAATAACAAAGATATTCGTGAGTTTTCGTTTAAATGTTTTCAATTTTCATATAACCAAACGTATATATATATATATATATATATATAGTATATGTATGTATGTTTGTATACTACGCAATCACGATATTATTCCATAAATTCAATGGTAAACTTTTGAATATTAGATTTTATTTAAAAAGAAAAATACATCATGAATTATGCATTCTTTTTTAATTATATTTTTCTACTATTAAAATTCAATGTGTGAAATATAAAAAATTAATGAATATTTATTTATTCTTTGGGATAGTATGTTTTTATTGTATATAGTAAAAAAAAAAAAAAAAAGAAAGAAAAAAAAGAAGAAAAGAAGAAATTTATCCATGCATTTACCCAATTGCATTATGGTATCAATAAATATTTCATAATTTAATCGTATATTGCATTTTATATAAATTAAATATATTTAATTTGTATTAATGTAATTAAATTATATTATAATATATATGATAATATAATATTAATTGTGGATAGGTAGTTTGATTTAGTTAAATTTCTTTTGAAATTTGTTATATTTCGTTTTAATGAAAAATATCTATCCTTCTAGATAATTGAAAATGATCGTAAACGCATAACGTAAGTTCGATCGAACGTAAAATTGAATATCAATTGCTATTCGATGCTTTTTCATCCTGCAGTTTGGTGGCCCTGACTTCGTACAAAATTAGTTTTTAATAAAACGAACGTATTTTCGAAGGGTCACAAAATACAATAGTTGTATAGTGTACAATTAAAATTAACAAATGAACACACAACAAATTAATAATATAATATATATATATATATAAAATTCAAAGCAGCTAAATTAAAAAATTTTAAAAATTAAAAATTACAAATTTAAACTTAAAAAAAAGGAATGACTTTTTTTAAACAATGTCAATTACAACTACTTCTCGTAAAAATTAATATTCGCAATAACACGCACGCACGCACATACATACATACACACATATACATACATAAATAATCGTTTCCCGTATTTACTTTTCAAATTCATGCAATCGCCTGTACAGTAAATGGAAATTTTAAAACGTAAAAGAAAAAAAAGAAAATGTAAAAAAAATAGAGAGAGAGAGAGAGAGGAGGAACAAAAAAAATAACGCGTAACAAATAATAGTTGCGAACAATTTGTACGAGGTATAATAATTGTACCGTACTTAGTTGGAAAATAACAAAAAAAAAAAAGAAATGTCGAATAAATTCGTGAAATAAAATGGGGTGTGGGGGGGGGTGAGGGAGGGAGGGATAGGAGGGGGCAAGAAAAAAAAGGAAGAAAAAGAAGATTAAAAGAAATAACATAAAATATCGCAAAAATGTGTGTTGCGTAAAACACTTAACAAGTTGTTAATGTGTGTTTTGTGGTAATACTTAAATGTCACTAGGCCATTAAAAGTATTAAAATCATTGACTAAGAGTAAAGTAAATTCGTGAAAAGTTTAAATGGGAAATCGGTTGAAAGGGATTTAGATATGGTTCCCATGGGTAATCCTTCGGCTGGTCGATAGTGCTATAAAGACGATAAGTCTCTAACTGTATAACGTGAAATGTGACCACGTTTGAACTATCTATCGTTTTATCGATAATTCCCCTAGCCTCAACCCCCCATCCCCCTCCTCAGACCCCCCTCAGCCCCTCATACCTCAACCCACCTCTCGTTACGTTTAATCTTTATTTGTTACTTCTTTTTCGAATTTATTTTTGTTGTTAATTTATTATTATTATTATTATATTATTATTATAGACAAAATCAAAATACAAGAGAAACAGATTTGTACAAATGATTTGAAGACAAAAAAGAAAAAGAAGTGGAAGAAGAAG